ATCGACTTCCATAGCTATTTTTAGTACCGATATATGCCATCACGCAAGCACTTTTTTCCTTTGTTTTGCCACCTTCTATAATCGATTTCCATAGCTATTTTTAGCACCGAGATATGCCATCACGCAAGCAATTTTTTCCTTTGTTTTACCACCTTCTATTATCGATTTCCATAGCTATTTTTAGCACCGAGATATGCCATCACGCAAGCACTTTTTTCCTTTGTTTTACCACCTTCTATTATCGATTTCTCATAATTATTTTTAGTACCGAGATATGCCATCACGCAAGCACTTTTTTCCTTTGTTTTGCCACCTTCTATAATCGACTTCCATAGCTATTTTTAGTACCGAAATATGCCATCACGCAAGCACTTTTTTCCTTTGTTTTACCACCTTCTATTATCGATTTCCATAGCTATTTTTAGCACCGAGATATGCCATCACGCAAGCACTTTTTTCCTTTGTTTTACCACCTTCTATTATCGATTTCTCATAGTTATTTTTAGTACCGAGATATGCCATCACGCAAGCACTTTTTTCCTTTGTTTTACCACCTTCTATAATCGACTTCCATAGCTATTTTTAGTACCGAGATATGCCATCACGCAAGCAATTATTTCCTTTGTTTTACCACCTTCTATAATCGATTTCCATAGCTATTTTTAGCACCGAGATATGCCATCACGCAAGCACTTTTTTCCTTCGTTTTACCGCCTTCTATAATCGATTTCCATAGCTATTTTTAGCACCGAGATAAGCCATCACGCAAGCAATATTTTCCTTCGTTTTACCACCTTCTATAATCGGTTTCCATAGCTATTTTTAGCACCGAGATATGCCATCACGCAAGCAATTTTTTCCTTCGTTTTACCACCTTCTATAATCGACTTCCATAGCTATTTTTAGTACCGAGATATGCCATCACGCAAGCATTTTTTTCCTTCGTTTTACCGTCTTCTATAATCGACTTCCATAGCTATTTTTAGTACCGAGCCATCACGCAAGCACTTTTTTCCTTCGTTTTACCATATCGACTTCCATAGCTATTTTTAGTACCGAGATATGCCATCACGCAAGCACTTTTTTCCTTCGTTTTACCACCTTCTATAATCGACTTCCATAGCTATTTTTAGTACCGAGATATGCCATCACGCAAGCAATTTTTTCCTTCGTTTTACCGTCTTCTATAATCGACTTCCATAGCTATTTTTAGTACCGAGATATGCCATCACGCAAGCACTTTTTTCCTTCGTTTACCACCTTCTATAATCGACTTCCATAGCTATTTTTAGTACCGAGATATGCCATCACGCAAGCACTTTTTTCCTTCGTTTTACCACCTTCTATAATCGATTTCCATAGCTATTTTTAGTACCGAGATATGCCATCACGCAAGCACTTTTTCCTTCGTTTTACCACCTTCTATAATCGACTTCCATAGCTATTTTTAGCACCGAGATATGCCATCACGCAAGCACTTTTTTCCTTCGTTTTAGCACCTTCTATAATCGATTTCCATAGCCATTTTTAGCACCGAGATATGCCATCACGCAAGCACTTTTTTCCTTCGTTTTACCGCCTTCTATAATCGATTTCCATAGCTATTTTTAGCACCGAGATATGCCATCACGCAAGCACTTTTTTCCTTCGTTTTACCACCTTCTATAATCGACTTCCATAGCTATTTTTAGTACCGAGATATGCCATCACGCAAGCACTTTTTTCCTTCGTTTTACCACCTTCTATAATCGATTTCCATAGCGATTTTTAGCACCGAGATATGCCATCACGCAAGCAATATTTTCCTTTGTTTTACCACCTTCTATAATCGATTTCCATAGCGATTTTTAGCACCGAGATATGCCATCACGCAAGCACTTTTTCCTTTGTTTTACCACCTTCTATAATCGACTTCCATAGCTATTTTTAGCACCGAGATATGCCATCACGCAAGCAATATTTTCCTTCGTTTTACCACTTTCTATAATCGATTTCTCATAGTTATTTTTAGCACCGAGATATGCCACCACGCAAGCACTTTTTTTCCTTCGTTTTACCGCCTTCTATAATCGATTTCCATAGCTATTTTTAGCACCGAGATATGCCATCACGCAAGCACTTTTTTCCCCCTTGTCTTTGTTAGCGGAATCTATGTCGCAATGTAATTTCAGTAATCGTTCCTTATCACTAGTTTTCGAAGAGGCTCGTGACAGCCATTTCGTGTGCCTTGGGAAATAACACTTGATACCTTCAACAACATCAGAATAACCTTTACATTCGTGTTACTTTCATTCTATTAATCAAACAACAAGTTGATATGTTGACCTATAATTACCTTTAAAAAGATAATGGGGATGGTGTTATGATGATGGTGATGGTGATGGTGATGATGATTATGATGATGATGATGGTGATGATGATGATGATGATGATGATGATGATGATGATGATGACGGTGATGGTGATGATGATGATGGTGATGATGATGATGATATGATGTGATGTGATGATATGATGATGATGGTGATGATGATGATGTGATGATGATGATGATGATGATGATGATGATGATGATGATGATGATGATGATTGATGATGGTGATGATGATGATGAATGATGATGATGATGATGATGATGATGATGGTGATGTGATGATGATGATGATGATGATGTGATGATGATGATGATGATGATGAGATGATGATGGTGATGATGATGATGATGATGATGATGATGATGATGATGATGATGATGATGATGATGATGATGATGATGATATGATGATGTGATGATGATGATGATGGTGATGATGATGATGATGATGGTGATGATGATATGTGATGATGATGATGATGATGATGATGATGAATGATGATATGATGATGATGATGGTGATGATGATGATGTGATGATGATGATTGATGATGATGATGGTGATGATGATGATGATTGATGATGATGGATGATGATGATGATGATTGATGATGATGATGATGATGATGATGATGATGATGATGATGATGATGATGATGATGATGATGATGATGATGATGATGATGATGATGAATGATGATGATTGATGATGATGATGATGATGATGATGATGATGATGATGATGATGATGATGATGATGATGATGATGATGGTGATGATGATGATGATGATGATGATGATGATGATGGTGATGATGATGATGATGATGATGATGATGATGATGATGGTGATGGTGATGATTGATGATGATGATGATGTGATGATGATGATGATGATGATGATGATGATGATGATGATGATGATGATGATGATGATGATGATGATGATGATGATGATGATGATGATGATGTGATGATGTGATGATGATGATGATGATGATGGTGATGATGATGATGATGATGAGATGATGATGATGATGGTGATGATGATGATGATGATGGATGATGATGATGATGATGATGATGATGATGATGATGATGATTGATGATGATGATGATGATGATGGTGATGATGATGATGATGATGGTGATGATGATGATGATGATGATGGTGTGCAATTGAACGAATATTACGATACGGTATAACTTTGTCTGTAGGGAAAAAGTACCTAACTCTCGTTGGAAGTTTAACCTGCATATTTGAGATCCCATAACAAACTCTCCCCATAATACACTCTCCCCTAAATAAACTCTACTCATAAAAAATACTCCCATTAATAAACTCTCCCCTTAATAAACTCTTCCCATAAACTCTCCTCATGGTAAATTTTCCGCTTAATAAACTCTCCTCATGATAAACTCTTCCCATAAACTCTCCTCATGGTAAATTTTCCGCTTAATAAACTCTCCTCATGGTAAATTTTCCGCTTAATAAACTCTCCTCATATAAAAATCTCCCCTTAGTAAACTCTCCCCATGATAAACTCTCCTCATGATAAATTCTCCCCTTAATATACTCTCCCCATAATAAACTCTACCCTTAATAAACTCCCCATGGTAAACTTTCCCTATAATAAATACTCCCCATAATAAACTCTCCCCATGATAAACTCTCCCCTTAATAAACTCTCCCCATAAACTCTCCTCATAGTAAATTATCCCCATAATAAACTCTCCCCATAATAAACTCTCCCCATAATATACTCTCCCCATAAATTCTCCCCATAATAAACTCTACCCTTAATAAACTCCCCATGGTAAACTTTCCCTATAATAAATACTCCCCATAATAAACTCTCCCCATGATAAACTCTCCCCTTAATAAACTCTCCCCATAAACTCTCCTTATAGTAAATTATCCCCTTAATAAACTCTCCTCATGATAAACTCTCCTCATGGAAAATTTTCCCCTTAATAAACTCTCCCCTTAATAAACTCTCCCCATAAATCTTCCCTATAAACTCTCCCCATAAACTCTCCCAGCGTATGTACTTGTAAAGGGTAGTATTGTCGGATAATAAACTGCTCAGCTAATGGCAGTGTGTCACTTAGTCACCCCTGGTACATAATTCATATTTTATTAGCATTTGTCCAGCTTTTGGTAGCACGTTAATCAAGCACTGATAGCATGTCATCTCACTATCAACATGTTATTCAATCACTGGTGGTTTGTTCTCCAGCAGATGGTAGCGTGTTACTCGACCATTGGCAGCGTGTTATTTAACCGTTGGTAACAATTCACTCAAATACTGGTAGTATGTTATTCAGCGACTGGTAACATTTAACTTTGCTTGGAGAAAATGTTATTCAACTTTGATATTCAACCACAAGTTGCATGTTATTCAAGCACTGAGAGTAGTACGTATATGTGATATTTGATTTATCAGTATATTTTATGTATTTTTATTTCTCTTTTCTTTTCTTGTATACCTTCAGGGAGTATACGTTTGATTGATGTGTCACATACAAGATTGATGCGAGTATACAGCATATGCTACAGATTCTTTTGTGTTATTCTGCAAGATCGTGAAGGACTCCGGATGGTTCACACAGCACAGCCGATATCATCATGCAACACGTGGACCTTCGCTGCTCAGAATATTTAGCAGAATTTCCTTAGCCGATGCAAGACGTCGCGTGACCTTTGACCTCCTGCTCTGACTGCTCCTTGAATATGCGCCTTCGTTCGGTATTCTGGCACCGTCTTCGGTCTCGGCTGATGAAGGTTCTGGTCATTTTTACTTAGGTTTAATCGTTAGAGCGTTTGTGAAAGGCCGGGTGGGTTTCGGATGAGGCGATGGTGGCTGTGAGTGGGACGAAATACGGTGACTGAGAAGAAGGTGGATGATTGGAGTGGATGAGGTGATGTCGCTAATGGATGAGGCGATGATGGCTGTGGATGACAATGCATGAATCAGATGAGGCAATAGGGAGGTAGTGGATATAGTAATGCTGGCAGTGGATGAGGCAATGTTGGTAGACTTATTGGATGAGGCAGTGTTGGTAGGCCTATTGGATGAGGCAATGCTGTCAGTGGATGAGGCATCTGGTGAGGCAGTGTTGGTAGCTATTGGATGAGGCAATGCTGTCAGTGGATAGGCTTACTGGGTGAGGCAATGTTGGCCAATGTTGGTAGGATGAGGCAATGTTGGTAGGCCTATTGGATGAGGCAATGTTGGTAGGCCTATGGATGAGGCAATGTTGGTAGGCCTATTGGATGAGGCAATGTTGGTAGGCCTATTGGAGGCAATGTTGGTAGCCTATTGGATGAGGCAATGTTGGTAGAGGCAATGTTGGTAGGCCTATTGGATGAGGCAATGTTGGTAGGCCTATTGGATGAGGCAATGTTGGTAGGCCTATTGGATGAGGCAATGTTGGTAGGCCTATTGGATGAGGCAATGTTGGTAGGCCTATGAGGCAATGTTGGTAGGTATTGGATGAGGCAATGTTGGTAGGCCTGTTGGATGAGGCAATGTTGGTAGGCCTATTGGATGAGGCAATGTTGGTAGGCCTGTTGGATGAGGCAATGTTGGTAGGCCTATTGGATGAGGCAATGTTGGTAGGCCTATTGCCCAATGTAGGCTATTGGATGAGCCAATGTTGTAGGCCTATGGATGAGCAATGTTGGTAGGGATGAGCAATGTTGTAGGCCTATTGGATGAGGCAATAATGAGGCCTATTGGATGAGGCAATGTTGTAGGCCTATTGATGAGGCAATGTTGGTAGGCCTATTGGATGAGGCAATGTTGCCTATTGGATGAGGCAATGTGGTAGGCCTATTGGATGAGACAATGTTGTAGGCCTGTTGGATGAGTGTTGGTAGGCCTATTGATGAGCAATGTTGCCTATTGGATGAGGCACCCCTATTGGATGAGGTTGGTAGGCCAATGTTGGTAGGGATGAGCAATGTTAATGAGGCAATGTTGGTAGGCCTATTGGATGAGGCAATGTTGGTAGGCCTGTTGGATGAGGCAATGTTGGTAGGCTTATTGGATGAGGCAATGTTGGAAGGCCTATTGGATGAGGCAATGTTGGTAGGCCTATTGGATGAGGCAATGCTGGCAGTGGATGAGGTAGTGCAGGCAGCGGGCGAAATAATTGGTAGTGGATGATCCAGTGGAGGAGTCAGTGCTGACAGTGGATGAGGCAGTGTTGGTAGGCCTATTGGATGAGGCAACGTGGCAGTAGATGAGTAAGGTTGGCAGTTAAGGAGGCGAGTAGTAGTGTATGAGGCAAAGTTGACAACAGATGAGGCAAAACTGGCAGTGGATGAGGGCAGAGTTGACTATGGATGAGATGAAAGGTGGAAGTGGATGAGGTGACGGCAGCAGTGGATGAGACGATGCCGTAGGTGAGGCGCTGGCAGTCAATGCTGGCAGTGGAGGAGGCATTGCAATTGTAATGTTGGCAGTGAATGAGGCATTGCTGGCTGTGGAAGATTCGATGCTGGCAGTGGATACGGTAATGTTGGCAGCAGGTACGGGAATGCTGGCAGTAGTTGAGGAAGTGGATGAGGCAATGCTGGCAGACGACAAAGCGATTCTGGCAGTGGATGAAGCAACGCTAGCAGTGGATAAGGCAATGCTGGCAGTAGATAAGGCGATTCTGGCAGTGGATGAAGCAACGCTGGCAGTTAATAGGACAATTCTGGCAATGAATGAGACAACGCTCGCAGTTAATAGGACAATGCTGTGGATGAGACAATGCTGGCAGACGACAAAGCGATTCTGGCAGTGGATGAAGCAACGCTGGCATTTAATAGGACAATGCTGACAGTGGATGAGACAATGCTGGCAGATCACAAGCCAAATCTGACAGCGGACGAGGCGATGGTGGCGGCGGATGAGGCAATGCTGACGGTGGATGAGGCGGCGGTGGCGGTGGACGAGGCCTGACGGAGGAGACACGAAGGGCGTGGTCATCGGTCGTGTGTTGCGGCGCCCGCTGAAGCTGCTAAGAAGTAGCAACTTTTTCGTGTTGAAAGAACCGGTGGTATGGTAATTTTTTTTTTTTTTTTTTTTTTTTTTTTTTACTTTCTCTTTCTTTTTATATGTAATATCTGACCTCGACTTGATTTCAGATGTTAAAACATACTTAGAGAGCAATTCAGAATGTCAGAATGATAAAGAGACTTAGAATATCGTCTGCATAATGCTGGTATTACAAAGTAAATAAAAAAGATGTAACAACAACTTCAGCATCATACTGTACATTTTCTATATTTTTTAGAAAATTCCTGAAGATACATTCCTGACTATAGACTATGCTTTAATTCCCCATCACTATAAATTCTCTAAACTATTAGAAAATTCCTGAAGATACATTCCTGACTATAGACTATGCTTTAATTTCCCATCACTATAAATTCTCTAAAATTATTAGAAAATTCCTGAAGATACATTCTTAACTATAGACTATGCTTTAATTCCCCATCACTACAAATTCTCTAAAATTATTAGAAAATAGCTGAAGATCCATTCCTACATATAGACTATGCTTTAATTCCCCATCACTATAAATTCTCTAAAATTACTTGAAAATTCCTGAAGATACATTACTGACTATAGACTATGCTTAATTCCCCATCACTATAAATTCTCTAAATTATTAGAAAATTCCTGAAGATACATTCTTGACTATAGACTATGCTTTAATTCCCCATCACTATAAATTCTCTAAAATTATTAGAAAATAACTGAAGATCCATTCCTACATATAGACTATGCTTTAATTCCCCATCACTATAAATTCTCTAAAATTATTAGAAAATTCCTGAAGATACATTCCTAACTATAGACTATGCTTTAATTCCCCATCACTATAAATTCTCTAAAATTATTAGAAATAGCTGACGATCAATTCCTGACTATAGACTATGCTTTAATTCCCCATCACTATAAATTCTCTAAAATTATTAGAAATAGCTGACGATCAATTCCTGACTATAGACTATGCTTTAATTCCCCATCACTATAAATTCTCTAAAATTATTAGAAATAGCTGACGATCAATTCCTGACTATAGACTATGCTTTAATTCCCCATCACTATAAATTCTCTAGATTATTAGAAAATTCCTGAAGATACATTCCTGACTATAGACTATGCTTTAATTCCCCATCACTATAAATTCTCTAGAATTATTAGAAAATAGCTGAAGATACATTCCTACATATAGACTATGCTTTAATTCCCCATCACTATAAATTCTCTAAACTATTAGAAAATTCCTGAAGATACATTCTTGACTATAGACTATGCTTTAATTCCCCATCACTATAAATTCTCTAAAATTACTTGAAAATTCCTGAAGATACATTCCTGACTATAGACTATGCTTAATTCCCCATCACTATAAATTCTCTAAAATTATTAGAAAATAGCTGAAGATCCATTCCTACATATAGACTATGCTTTAATTCCCCATCACTATAAATTCTCTAAACTATTAGAAAATTCCTGAAGATACATTCCTGACTATAGACTATGCTTTAATTCCCCATCACTATAAATTCTCTAGATTATTAGAAAATTCCTGAAGATACATTCCTGACTATAGACTATGCTTTAATTCCCCATCACTATAAATTCTCTAGAATTATTAGAAAATTCCTGAAGATACATTCCTAACTATAGACTATGCTTTAATTCCCCATCACTATAAATTCTCTAGAATTATTAGAAAATTCCTGAAGATACATTCCTGACTATAGACTATGCTTTAATTCCCCATCACTATAAATTCTCTAGATTATTAGAAAATTCCTGAAGATACATTCCTGACTATAGACTATGCTTTAATTCCCCATCACTATAAATTCTCTAAAATTATTAGAAAATAACTGAAGATCCATTCCTACATATAGACTATGCTTTAATTCCCCATCACTAATAAATTCTCTAAACTATTAGAAAATTCCTGAAGATACATTCCTGACTATTGACTATGCTATAATTCCCCATCACTATAAATTCTCTAAACTATTAGAAAATTCCTGAAGATACATTTCTACATACAGACTATGCCTTAATTCCCCATTAAACCCAGATTAAGCACGTTTAAGCGGCTTAGCAGTGGTTATCTAACGAGAAACGGAGATCGAAAGGGTACCAGGTATTTCGTACCCTGAGGCTTCGAGGTGCAGTAGTCTCCGACATGACATGAATTCTCCTACAGGGAGTTGTGGTGATAGGCCGGTTTGTTCCAATTGTGAAAGGCCCGACCCGACGAATCCTCATCATACACGGCCGGTTTGTTCAATTTGTGAAAGGCCCGACCCGACGAATCCTCATCATACACGGCCGGTTTGTTCAATTTGTGAAAGGCCTGACCCGACGAATCCTCATCATACACGGCCGGTTTGTTCCAATTGTGAAAGGTCCGACCCGACGAATCCTCATCATACACGGCCGGTTTGTTCCAATTGTGAAAGGTCCGACCCGACGAATCCTCATCACGAAATCCTCATCATACACGGCCGGTTTGTTCCAATTGTGAAAGGCCCGACCCAATGAAAACTCATCATACACGGCCGGTTTGTTCAAGTTGTGAAAGGCCCGACCCGACGAATCCTCATCATACACGGCCGGTTTGTTCAATTTGTGAAAGGCCCGACCCAATGAATCCTCATAATACACGGCCGGTTTGTTCAATTTGTGAAAGGCCCGACCCAATGAATCCTCATAATACACGGCCGGTTTGTTCAATTTGTGAAAGGCCCGACCCAATGAATGGCCGGTTTGTTCAATTTGTGAAAGGCCCGACCCAATGAAAACTCATCATACACGGCCGGTTTGTTAGAATTGTGAGAAGCCCGACCCAAAGAATATTCGTATACCTATGCATAAATAAAGAAATAAATGCATATTTATCAGTATGGACGTGCATATCTACCCGGCAAATTGATGGTTAAATGTGTATCTATCAGATATATAGGCAGATGTGCCTTTATTTCTGCATCTGTATACATGGAAATTCATTGGGTTGGGCCTGGCACAATTCTAACAAACTGGCCGATAGACATGCATGTACACCAACTTTTGATGCAGTTTAAGGATACTTACATGCATCCGTCTACATAACCTGGACAAATTTCAAGGAAAAAAATGCGATAAGAATAACCCTTGTCCAAATAAATGCATCCCTATCAATCTAGATATGTATATCTACCGTAGAGATAGAGATAAATGTATATCTGTGAGAGAGATAAAAAGATATGCATTTATTCGTGTGTACGTGCGTGTCCCTAGGTATGAATATCCACTGGGTCGGGCCTCGCGCATTTCTAACTAACCGGCTGAGTGTCCTGATATATGGCCTCAGCTGATCCACTACAATCATTAACCTTTAAGATGCACTCGGGTTAATTTGCTTAACTGACAGGTAAGTGTCGATGGTGGGTGAGGTGATGAGGTAGGAACGCCCATCACGATACACAAACAAGGGTGATGAAACAAAACGAGAGAACGGCCGCAGTAAAACCAAACCGCAGACTTTTCGAAGGAACTAGGTCTCCCTCCAGGCGAGGATAGTCATTTTCTTGAAGTGTGTATGATTCCCACTATCCTACGCGGATATAAAACCAAGAAATTCACGCGCATTGTCAAACTGTGCCAGGTGACGGCCGCCAGCACGAAACGGTGGGTGTGGTCACGGCTGTGATCGTTCACGGCGAGTGTAGTCATCTCCGTATCAGTTATCAGAGCAATCAAGGCATCTTACTTTTTCTTTTTTGTTCATTTAGTGACTGTTGACTATCTTCTCTATGTATGGTTTCGCTAACGTGAGTATAATGGTAGTTTGATGGTAGCGGTTGACGTGACGGTCCGGTAATGGTGACTGACTACCTTGGCTGTAACCGTTACAGGTGACCGTGGCGGACGTGGTCGATAAGGCCTTGAGGGGGTGGGGGTGGGGGGGAGAGAGAGGGAAAAGCGGCGTGTGGTTTCCGTAGATTTACAGCACCTAGGTTGACGCATCAATCGACTCCTAGCTTTAGACCGGACGCCAAATTGGTTAAAATAACCTACGAGAGTGACGCCAACTTTCTGATGCAGTCTGCGTATACTTACACGCATCCGTCTACAACACTGGACACAATTCAAGGAAAAGAAATTGCGATAAGAATAGCTTTTATCCAGCGACCAGGCTTGGCTAGAAGAGAGAATGCTTCGTCACACAACTCCTATTCAGCATCTCCAAATCCAAACACACCTCCCACTAAAGGAAAGAAAGATTTCCTATTATCTTTCTCTGTAGACTTAAGAGTGTTGTTTTGTGCGGTTACCTTACACGGTCACTCAGCCCAGTGTGTGAAAACCTGAGAGTCACTTCCTTCTGAAATCCGAGGAATATTTGCCGTACCAAGAAGCTGATTCTCATACAGGTGAAA